CATCCGGCAACACCGGTATATACCGCGATCGACGACATGTCAGTACTTGTACGAGTGCACTTACTATAGATTAAACGTTAAACGATACATTACCTCATAGGCCGACGCCAACGAATGGCAGCAGCTCGAATCGCATCCATACACATCTACTACTCGCGTCCGACGCTCGTCTCGAAATTTCCGTTGCACAGGACGGCAGACCGACGCCATCTCTGTCCGTTGCAAAAACGGGGACTGAGTTTTTCGACTCTGCCTGAAAAAAAAATAGCGCGACTGACTATAGCCGCACTACCCGTTCAGTAATCTCTCGGCTTCGAATGGTGTATACTTTTAGATCTAGCTAATCAGATCCAAGTTCGCCAATTAGCAGTGTAGGCATTACATGCAGCCAATCGCTGATTCGATTTGGCGTAACCATTGCGCAGACGCACATAGGTTGGCGCGCAATGCACCGACGAAGGCATACATGGCGAAGATGACAATCGCGAGATAACGATTCTTCAAGACTGACTCGTTAATAGGTTCATTAAGAAATTCGTTTACGTTGTAGATTATATCATCGACATGATTATATTCTGTATAGGCATGGGATATATCGAATGTGAAATGCATGCTGAAAAGGCTCAACGATAAATTGCACACTTACGACGCCGAGACGATGCAGGACACGACAAAGCAGGACGAGCAGGATGACGACTGTTTGATCGTGTCCACTTGTTGATACGTCCAACTTTCGTGGGTGCCCTCGATATGCTTGAAGCTTACTCCTTTTGGACGTAAATCACGCGAAACACGCAACGCGCGCGCGCGCGCTCGCGTGACCTGTCTAGTCCGTCTTAATATGGCGTATCGCAAGTAATTCGTTTGTAGGGGCGCAACGGTCGCGTGTATACAGGGTGTCCTGGACAAAAAAGCCCTCTTTCATTTTGCATACAACGCGCAAAATTTCGAATTATTAATTATTTAAAATAGCCATATATTTTTGTTCACTTTTTTGTTCACTTCAATCCGTTCTACGCATACGTTATATCGCACGGCGAGATAACAATCGTGCGAAATAATCTTTTATTTAAAGTCGGCTCATCAAGTAACGAATGTTAAAAGCGGAAACAATTATGTTTTTATTCGGGGAAATAAAAGAAGCTTTCTCGTGAAAGATATACATTTCGTTTAACGAAATTTCAAGCGTTTGCGTCTTTCAATCTTGATCGCGATTTCGATCTTTCGTCTGTTTCGAATATCCGACCCAATCAGGAATAACTCAGACAAGAGAGCTCGTTAAAACAAAATTAGCTATTGTATGCGCCTTCTTCTCTTTCCTTCTCGCGAGGGATTTTCACTTCTTCCGCCGTTTCATTCGCGGCCTTTTCCTTTTCTCTCACCTACTGTCTCCTAGTGGGCGGCCCCTTTATTTTGTCGTTCTCTTTCCCCGCCGCTACGCAGTCGCGAAGTTAGACGAAACTCGTTATCGGATAGAACGGGCGATTACCGCCTCGTCTCGAGTTGGTGCTCGACTTTTAACGCGATTATACGTCGCTGAAACGCTAAATTGCACTGCGCAACGAGAGTTAACGCCCGCGAAAACTGTAAGTTCGAACGATGCGCCCCAGGGAAGAGCGGCGCAAAAATAACCGATAAAGCGACGCGAAAAAGAGAACGTCGGGCTTCCCTCGTCATACTTAGCGTGCGATCATGATACCACGCGATAGAATTTGCTCAATGAGTGAAGATTGCGGCGCTCGCGGCGACAGAATTATGCCAGTTGGACGTTAAAACGCGGAGGAAAATCTTTCGTAATTCGGGCTTCCTCGGGGCGCTTCAACGTATATTATGCGTTACGGTGTGTAGCTGCAATGTGAGAGGGTGCTCCTTGGAAGCCACTTTAGACGAAACTAACGGCGGAATTCTATTTATAATTTTACATGTCGCGGGAAACCTGTGAAGGGATTTATGAATGCACACGTGTACATACGTCTGTAAAGGTAATTCCGATTCAACTCGAACCTTCTCGTCTCACAGACGGGAACTCCGCTTGAAAAGTCACGTCGCGAATTATATGGATCGTCTGCGAAACGCGCCCGAGGCGTTTGGAAAGCCGGGCGGAGAAAAAAAAAGGACATGTCGGGCGGCAAACAAGGAACGGAGCGAGGCTAATACAAGGTAAATATCCCGAAAAGTCTCTCGTGTTTCATAAAACTGTTCTCGCGGCTGCGTACTTTTTATACAGCTCCGATGCGCCGCGCAAATAGACCGAAGAAAAGCCGAAGGCAGAAACGCGAAAGAGGTAAACGGAAGCCCGATAGGTCGAGCCAATCGCTCACCTGCTCAACCAATCGCGCACCTGTACTCGCCCTCCGCGAAGCTAAACCAATCGGCTACGGTACGTATCGTTGTTTGGCCAGTTTACGAGCGCTCGCCGTTCTACGGATATCGATTACCGATCGCCTCGGCGGGCTATCGCTTCTTCCTAATACTGAAAAATGGACCGGTGCCTTTGGCCGCGGAATCTCCTGCGAAGGAGAGCGCGCAGGAGCTATTGCCGAGGAATTCTCTCGACGCCCGATGAAGGACCTCGGCGAAGAATGCTCAAAGTTTCCGCCCGCTTCCGGTCCGTCGGCTTTCGCTGATGGCTGCAATTAGACCTCTAGCACTCCTTTTATAGAGCGCGCGCACGACGTTACCGCTTGAAAAGATCGACCAGTAGCGGACCATGCACCATGAGCGAGAATATCCTCCCTAATTGAAGGCGACCCTAAATTTTGGGAAAGTTAAGGAATTAGAAAAAGACAAGGGAAACTGACGTTCGTGCTTCTCTAAAAAAAAAAAAAAAAAAAAAAAAAAAACTTTTTTNGACATTGCACCTCGAATAACTCAACGAAAGAATTCCCATATCAAATGACAGCATACGTTTCCCATATCAATGACGAGCATACGTTTTTTTTTCAGCGGCAACTGACCGTTGTTAAAGTTTCAATTGCATTGGATTCAAAATTACTCGTAAAATCTGTCCGTTTCGCGGTGCGAAAATAATTACTCTTAATTATAACACCTTAACAAAGCTGTCCGAAAGGACGGTGATTGAATTGCATTTATTCTTCGATGATAATTTATGTGAATATTTTTTGTTTTGTTTTCATACGAAATATCTTCCAACCATAGTAGTTACGATCATTTTCATACTCTTAGACTCAATCTATCTTTCAATTTCTTTCTAAGCTCAAACAAAGTACAGCCGTCGTCTTTGTTGCATATTTATTCACAGACATTGCTAAGGGAGAATATATTATAAATTGCAACAATTTCGCGGGTACATCACTAATAATTACAAATGCACTTAACTGACATAGTCTGTAGTTCCCCCTATAAATTTCCCCGTCACGTTTTATCTCCCCTCTCTCTTCCCCACAAGAATCGCTATAACAAATATCCTATTCCTATGCAGAACAGGAACGTTGTAAGGAACATATTGTCTTATCGACCACAAAGCGGTTACAAAGTCCTGCACCTTGCAGTAGCTATTTTACTGGGAGCGAGCTCCGTTTAAGATGTAACAAAGGTCTGTTTATACTCGAAATATCGCGACAAATTTTCGTAGAATAGTTCTCCGGGCCGTTACAGTTACGAGAATCGGTGGTAAAAGACGAAAGATAAAAATATCCTCACAGAAAACGAGAACCATGTCTTCGTACGGAACATAATCGCAAGCCGAAACATAATGCTTACCTATGTATATAACGATATCCTACACGATATTTATCAATAATCTCTCTGCACGATACTCGTCGATGTTCTATTCTTCAAAAACCTGAAGCCAAATGAAATAGAATTTCTCTCGATAACCCAACTAAACGTTCAGCTGCAAAATTCTAAAGATAAAATAATAGTTACTTTTACAAAAATAGATTATAAAATAATATAATAAATACATAAAAAAAACGAATAGTTAATTCGACTCTTGTGCCAATTTACTTTACTCTGTCTTGCTATCACAACCGATACCGAATATCATAATAATTTAAGGTGACGACAGTTGCTGGCGAAGATATCTATCTGTATCTATTATTACACGACATTATTGCGCAATGAATATGTGCCCAGACTAGCACCGGGCGCGATTTCTAAACGGCCTCTCTTATTGGTATTTAACTTCCGCTCGCAAAGTGACTCTAATATTACAAAGGCGCCATTCATGAACTTTCCCGATAGCCGAGGCAAATGTTATTCCGATAGATAATGCATCTTCATACATACATGCATGCCGCATGTGCTCGCGCGACCGCTCCCGATGTAATGACGCCGAGCATCGCGTACGTTACAGGAATTGCAGCGGCTACGAGAGGCGCCGATGTATTCGAATGATACGCCCAACGCCGAATATTGAATATTCATACGTCGAATTTGGCGATGGATGGTGTCGCCCTTATTCGTATCATTCGTCGTGCGAATAACTCAACACGTTCGAACGATATGGGGCACCAAATATTGCGTGTATCATGCATACAAATACTAGATTCTCTGATACACGAAACTACCTGAAAAATAAAAATACGATACTCCACGGAACTTGGCCGAATATAACACGCAATGTAATCTCTTGCATCTTATATTGTGGAACATACTAATAATTCATCGAACTCGTAAATGTACGATATCTATACGATAAATCGTCGTATACTTACTACGAACGACGACAGGAAAGGACAATTGGACCTGATAAGGTTAAGGTTCAAGAAGATATTGGAGCTTGCAAAAAAGTGCCCGCTCTTTTGAGAGAGAGAAGCATCATCAGTCCCAGTAAGTCATTTAAACGCAAACATACATGCGAATCACTAAGCTCTGGTATGTCGCGTGTATTTTTCTAATTACTTTGATCGTTCATGTGTAAATAAGCGCGGACAAAGAGCCCTTACTACGATTAAATTGATCCTCGTCGTCGTAGTTTTGCTCGCATCTGTAAGATGGCAGCATCTGCGAGGGCCGTCGATAAAATAAGTTACAGCGATGTGGTAACGGAAAAGCCTGCGCTTGACTAAATTAGGTTATGTCTTCCAGTTATGCTGATGTTTGTCAAGTGTAGTTCAAACCGGTGAAGATGGAAATAGAATTAATCGAATTAAAGGATATAAAAGCCGTGCCGGACATAATACACTCATATCCGCAACGAGTGAAATCAGAATGCACGCCGCTCGTTATCGACAATGGTAATCTTGATAATATTGAATGTTTTTCGATTATACTTTCTCGCAAAGTAACGATATTGTTTGGCATTAGGATCCTACAACTGTAGAGTCGGTTGGGCCACCGAGAAGGAGCCGCAATTAATATTCAAGAATCTCATAGCGAAACCACGCAAAGAACGTGGCAAGAAAGATGGGGAGCCTCAAGTGGGAAACGACATTGCAAATATCGAAGCTGTTCGATTTCAGCTGAAAACACAGTTTGACCGAGATGTGGTAACTCATTTTGAGGCTCAAGAACAAATATTCGATTACACATTCACGCACATGGGTATAGACACCGAAGGAAGTGTAAATCATTCGATTATCTTGACTGAAGCATTCCTCAATCCCAATTATTCACGCAATTGTAAGAATGCAATGGCCTATATTGCAACGATGTTTTTAACATTCAATGACTTATTAAACTGACTGTGTTTCAGTGATGGCAGAATTGTTATTCGAATGCTACAGTGTGCCATCGATAGCATATGGAGTTGATTGTTTATTTTCATATCAGCACAATAACTGTCCTCCTGATGGTCTAATAGTTAGTATAGGATATCATACGACTCACATAATACCAATATTAGATGGAAAAGCAGATGCCACAAATGCTAGAAGAATCAATGTTGGTGGATATCACATTACATCGTACATGCATCGACTCCTTCAATTAAAATATCCAGTACATGTTAATGCAATAACACCTAGTCGTGCAGAGGTACATATAACTATATAGATATTAAACGTCAAACAAAATAATAGTAACAATTGTTATCTTTAGATATCCTTTATAATTTGTAGGAACTGATACATGAATACTCGATGATTGCTTTAAATTATCAGGAAGTAATATCTAAGTGGGCTGATGTCGATTACTATGATACAAATGTCTTAAGAGTGCAATTACCATATATTGCCCCTACCGCTGCTCCTGGCTTAACGCTGGAACAGCAGAAGGAAAGGAAACGGGAATTAGCACGAAGATTGATGGAAATCAATGCAAGGAAGAGGGAAGAAAGAGTTAGTATCTTCACAGAATCTCATTTATATGACACTGTGATAGATATTGCTATTGAAATATTAAAATCTAATTTCATACCTTGCGTTTGTAGTTGGCTGAAGATGAGGAGCAGCTGAATCAGTTGTTGGCAGTCCAAGATCTCCTAGAGGAGGGTGAACTCGACGAGTTTGATCAAGCATTGAAATCTTATTCTCTTGCAAATGAGGCTGATCTAGTAAAGATGATTAATAATTTACAAGCAAAAGTAGAGAGGACCAGACAAAAGATCGTCGCTGCTAACTCACAAGAGGAAAATATTGTGATGGAAGAACAAAAGCCTAAAATTAAGTCGAATCTTCAACCAAAGGACCAGCAGGATTTCGACGAATGGATTGCTGGAGTTAGGAAAAAAAGGTAACTTCCCGATCTAACGCACTTATTTAGTGTACGTTAGTTCGAGTAAATTACTTATAATAGCAATTAACATGTAAATTATATAGTAAATTATAGATTAACGAATTATTATTTATAGACAAGAGATATTAGATAAACGTATGGCGAAAAGACAAAGAAGGCAAGACATGGCGAAACGAAGAACAGCCGCCGCACAAGAGAGAATGCGCATAATCAGCCAGTTGGCAAGAAAAGAAAAGCGTGATGACGATTTCGGTATACGAGACGAAGACTGGGACGTATACAAAGTTATAAATAGGGTACGCGCGTATTCTTCCCGTTAAATCGCACTGTTTGATATCGTCCTTTATTACCGAGTGTTTCTTTACAGGAAGGCGGTGATTCAGATTCGGAATTAGAGCAAGAGAAGTTGTTGGAACTGGAAGATGTTTTACGTCACCATGATCCGGAATTTGATAGCGCCGGATCCAGCGTCCCTATGGTTCCCGGAGAAACTCACCAACTTCACGTAGGTGTGGAGCGCTTACGTGCGCCGGAATTATTGTTCCAACCGTCGATGGTTGGTTCCGTGGAGGCAGGAATTGCCGAGACAATCGAATATGTCTTGAAACAATATTCGACTGAGGTACAAACGCGTTTAGTCAGTAACGTGTTTCTCACCGGTGGACCGACAGCCTTCCCAGGTCTATTGGAGAGATTGAAACGCGAATTACGCGAAATGAGACCCTTCGGCTCAAACTTCCAAGTGAACATCGCGAAAAACACCAGTTTGGACGCCTGGTACGGTGTAAGAGACTTCGGACTGAACGGTAATCTTCCCGAGTATTTAATCAGCCGCAAAGAATACGAAGAGAGAGGCGGGGAATATTTCAAGGAACATTTGACGAGTAATACTTACACTCGATCGCCTGATCCTTTGCCAATGATACAAGCACCTGTGACGTCCGAGCAAGTGATCGTAGAGTGGAAAGCAAGCGATGCTGTGGTCGATGTGGAAATTGAGTGAAAGGTAATATTAATTAATATTAATAATTAATTAAATATAATTTGAATATTTAATAATAACATAAATAATACGACTAAATAGAATAACATATGAACAAGTCTTTCTGTTTGTTGTATTTTCGTCAAGTAGGTTTTACTTAGTAACAACTGTACATAAAGTATAATTTGATCGTGATGTACGTATAGAAGACAGACTTTATACTAAATGGATAATGGTAAAAAAAGATACGACCAATTGTTGTTCATGGATATCTACTTTATTACACAAGTATTTCCGTTTGTTCATTTTATTACGAACAAACTACATTGTAGTCTGTTTGCTGATCACAATATACAGTTCCCAAAACATCTTCGCATTTCGCCATTCAACACAATTACGCGGGATACGTATTTATACGTTTTCACATTTCTTATCTCGAGGACGATCGACATCGGCTTCTGGGCGTTCTTCGAGTAGCCTAAAAAATTATGAAAGTGATCCCTCACCCTAGCGATAAGATTGATTTTAGCAGCAACCTCAGTACATATCTCCGTTCTCGGTCCGCAGCTTAAGCTAACATCACAATATAATAACATACTGAAATCATTGTCGTGACTCCCACATGAGCGGTCACAACTAAACGACTAATTCTTATGCAACACATTGTTAAAGGAACCCATACCGCGTAGCACATGACGCCTCAATTGATTCGAGCCTAATCTGACAACAAGCAGAATGCAGACGGAAAAATTTATGTCGATGGCAATCACAAAAATCACCTCAGATCACAAGTGCACAGCATTTTTTCATATATATTTCAATGAAACCTCGAAGATTCCATTCGTTTCACACGTTATCGCTTCGTATCACTCTTAGTCTGCATTTTATGCAGTTACAAACGTGATACACATATTGTTATAGACATGTCGTTTTTAAAAAAAACATGTACTGTATTGAATATATATGTACATACATATATTCAATTTTTTCGTAGACAACGTGCTGAAATATACAAACATAAATCTAATATCAATAGAGCACAATGTTCTGACGATATTCGCAAACGAAAATTGCAAAGCTCGTCACAAAGTTATTATCATCCTCAAATAGTCATGAACAATGACTGTAAGATAATAAGATTGAAAAGAGAAAGAGAGAATTTGACAAAGTAATATATTGATTTACACCATATTTATACGAGTTAAACGTTGAATTTTTGAGGGAATACTTTTCGTTCACAAGGCTCGCCAATCGATTGTACGTATCTTAATACAGCGTGAAGAACTTAATTTACATATCCTTTACAACTATCACAGTTTGAGGTCGCTGCAAATCAATGTCTCGCCTGTAATGACGCACTATATCTTATGAAATTTTCATTCAAAGAGAATTGTGGAAGGGGAGGTGTGGAGGACACTTGGGTAATCTCGTTTATGATAAGAGAATGAGGTAGAGAATCCAATCTGCAAAATAAATAAAAATACAACTTTTGATCCGCCTATGCTATAAGTGAGGGCCTACTTCCGTTAAAAATAATGTAACATTAATTAAAAGTATACGTAACACTTTAAAAATTATGATCGCGACGACGATGAATGATGATGATGATAATAATGTGATGGCCATGATAACAATAATCATGAGAAAGAGAGAATATAATATTAATAATATATAATAATAATTAGGATGATAATAAGGGATCATAATTATAGCAATAATAATAATTCACAATAATAACTAGTGTACAACAACGATTCACGTTTTTCTGCAATATAATGGCTGTATGTACTTATATATACATATATATTTATGTATATAGTTCGTATGGTGGGGCAAAGAGTGACAGCTATGTACAGTACATACTTGCCTTAGTTGTACTTCCTCCCCTCCCCCCATCTTTACGTTATACATACCTATATCCTTCGCATTAATTATATGACAATAATAATTAATAGTTATTTTGATGATAATAATAAGAATAATAATAATAAGAAGAATAATTACAATAATAATAATCGTAATTATATTAGTATCGTTTACTCATAAAATATCCTATATATAACACGTATACCTGTAATATAATAACTAGATATGCAGTATATACGTAAAGAGAGGATGTGTTCAAACAAGATATGTCGATAAAAACTATGGTATACCAAGCATTAACTATTTATTCTCTCTGCTATATATCGTTTGTCTTGTTCTTCTTTCATCCTCATTTTTTTTTTCGCAAAATGACTATTACAAAAGTGCATTTACCTCGCGTCCTTATATTTTATACGTACATACATAAATCGGCGCAGACCTATCTACCGTTTCCTCTTCATTGTCGTTTATATATTATTAGTTCGGTAGCGGTTAATTATATATATACACATATATATGAGATTATATACATGTATATATATATAAAATATTTCATTTGTATACTTTATTCTTTCTTATAACGGAGCGCGCGCTACGATAATCCCCTTGTTTACATCATACATACATACGTACGTACATACATACACACTGCGGGTGTATAACACGTGACATGATACTTTCTACGCATCGACGGTATATATATAGGTATATCTTATCGTCGTATCGTATAATAATTTTGTTCCTCCTGTGTGTGATTTTAAAACGCGACATCGCTGACGGGTTGCGCGTCAAGTACCCGTGATTAACAGCAACCCTCTTACACCCTACCTATCCACTCCTTTTATTCATCAAAGGTTTCGACGACACGCAATTCCGGACTTGCTTTCGTTCGTCTTTTTAGTCGAGGCTTTAGGCACCGTTCAAAACTCGAGTTGAGAGATATATTAGCGATAGAAAAGCTTACGCTTGTACTTACGGCCTGGCGATTTCTCTTTTAGCACCCCCGATAGACCAAATTTTCTTAACCATGTATTAACCCTTCACAGCTCGTAAGGACGAATCAATGTAACAGTACAGAAATTGACGGTAATATACGTACTGTCTGTGTGGAAAAAAAAAATAATCGACTGTAAATGTGACGACCGAAAAAACACGACATTGGATCCGCTATCGATACGATTACGCGCGAGAATAGTAATCTCCCAAAATCGATCGCATCTTATACATCGTCGAACTTAAGACATACGCAACAAAAGACTAGGTATCGTACGTCGATTACGATTAACGCAATCTTGTTTGAAACATGGCTGCGAAACGTCTCGAGAACTACATGCAAGTTTCCATAAATATCGCGGACTTTTCTTTACACCGTGACACTATTTCATCCCTGTGTGTGTGTGTGTGCATCGCTGTCGCGTAGGTGTAACGCTAAGCTGTAAAGAGTGAATGCAAAGCGCCGAGGCGCACTTTCGCCGTCGTTGCAAAAAAAATATCGTTGGACGAGGAAGACCGTTATTATGTATATATATGCGTGGATTTCGTACATGTAAAAATGCATGTCAAATCTCTCGTCGGCTCTCTGCTACAAAAATATCGATATATTTCAAATGAACCGGTAGACACCGTTCGCACGCGCGCATGGCAGCGCGAACGCGTCACTTTGTTTATCGTCTACACTTTTGAGTCGATTACTTTTTACACGGTTTTACAGAAATTGCGCTACACACGACGACATACGTCTCTCTGTCTCTCAACGTGGTTATTTTAATCTCGAAGTGCCCTCCCGTATATTCCTTTTTACCTTTTTTTTTTTTTATTTATTTACTTGTTTCACTATTACGTCATCCTTCCAAGTGATTCGCTTGACGCACACGACACTCTTTGTACATCTCTTTTACACCATATTAAATCTAGCTCGACGCGTGGATCAAGCAAATCGCCCACAAGTCAAAACGACGACCGCGCCTCGCCGCAAAAATGAAGCGACGCGCGTCGCGCTCCGGCAATAATTGTTCTTATAGGAATACAAATGGAGCGCTTTGTCATATTGTCGAAGCGGCCGCGACCGCCGTCGCTATCGAGGCGGAGGAATATCTTATTGCTGTAAATTCAAAGTTCAGCCAGCTAAAGTATCCTTCCCTCGCGCTATAAACCCACCTAACCTCCGTTTTTCTTTTTTTTTTCTCCCACTCACTCGCCCGCGAAAAAGATTGCTTTGTGAATTATCATTGCCCTGGTAATAAGGTATATATGTTTGACTCCGTATCGTGTGTTCGTGCGCGTCTCCGTGTTGGTACCAAACTAAAGCCAGTACTAGAAGTGCGTGTCCCTCTTTCTGGGTTTTTTCTTGTTTGCTTAATTATATATATATATATATATATATATACATTATATATATATATATATTCTCCACCGGTTGCGTGGACCTCCACGACGCCTACAAAAATCCTACACACTACTTCATTACGCAGGCCTCTAGAAGACTTACGGTAGCACGATAAACCTCTATAAAAATAAGAGCTATCCTACGTAAACGTATTACAAAAATAAATGGCATTGTACTCTGCTAAAGAAGCAAAATGGTACAGGCGCAATGTCGAGCGACGCGAGCATTGTCAATTTTTTATTACTCCCCCCGTCTGCTTCGTCGAGTTTTCCGTCTTCGTTCGGGTGTCTTTCCTTCGGTTACGTTCGTCGGACCGAGACCGATCGCTAAATTCGGATTCTTCCTCTTCTTCCCTTTTCTTTTTTTATCTACCGCCCCTCTCTCGCGAGACCTTCCTCAATCGACTTCCTTCTCCCTACCGAAAGTCAGGTTTAATTACATCACGTGCTGCTCGTGCCAGGCGACGCGAGGGTATAAAACGTACGCGAGCCAAGGCTGTGCTTGCGGGGCTATCACAAGTACGAAGTCGATCACGCGGCACGATAGAGCATTCGGTAAGAGTAGCCGGACCAGGAACTGGCTTCGAGTGTCGGGAATGAAACTCACTCTCGGTGCTCACACGGCAGAAAGACGCGTTTATTCGCGGTATCGTTCATCGGGAACGAAGAATGCGCGCCCGAATCGAATCCCCTACGCGCGTAAACTGAAACAACCTTTTCCCTGAATACCTTCGTTCTTCCGACTCGGTGAGAGGTCGGGGAGATTTGTACGGACGAACGGAATATATTACGATGAAGATCTGTTTCTCAACAAATGACACACGGTTGTCGGAAAGTGGTAGTACTTTCTGGGAGACGATTCTCTGTACATCTTTATGTAAGGGAGACTCAGTAAGGGACGCCACCACCAATAATTCCACACGATTCGATAATTGAAAGTCGTTGGAAAAGAATGCATCACGAAGAGACACGTGGTGCGGCTACCTAGTAAATTGTATACGAATATTAGGGAGTGTAATGCGCTACGTCGCCGGGACGAGAATCCAAGTCTCCTGCGGTATAACACAGCGGTCAGCATGCGTTATGAAATGGCACGGATAACGTACTACGAGCAATTAATTCAATTGTCACTGAACGATTAGAATTTTTGCGAGAAGTGCGGAAGAATTTGACGGAGCTTGAAGTTTCGCGTTGAAACGAACGAATCTTTAACGAGACTACAGGATGTATCCTACGCGCACGAGCTGATAAATTAATTAGATGATTCGGCGGTGTGATACAAATGATACTTTAATTTATTGTTATATATTACAGGATACACATTAACATTAAATATCGATTTTGTCGAAAGCTAATCTCTCTACAGGTTGGCTCGAGTAATAAAAATACAAGGAAATCTAATACTGTAACGGGCAGGTGCAAGTAAAAGCGTTTCACATTCCGAACGAAGAAACAAAATGTAGGATATACTTTATGTACAATAATTAAAAAAAAATCCTAATTTTTACTTAGGAGGCAGCTAGATAACCGGATCCGCACACCTTCGTCGTTATCCGATTAACAACCATATTTCTTCCGCACTACAGAATTATAAAAGACGAGGACAGACGTAGTATTAACAATCTCATATTGCACAGAATATCGCTGCCCTGGAAGCCAAGCGGTAGTAAAGTTAACGCGTATAATCACAAGATACGAGTTACTATAACGCTAGATAAAAAATATGTGTAAATATATATTTGCATGTCGTACTTTCTCAAGGTAAAAATATCAACTTTGTGCTCACAATTTCGAATAAAGTCTCTTAATTATGTCACTAATGATTAATATAAAATAATCACGAACGCAAAACTTAATTGCCAATTTTCCGTAGCGAACGCATGCATAATTGTATGTTTATTTCGGGAAAAATCTCGCGCTAACGTATACTTGTTACATCTCGTTAAAAAACGTCTTGTTAAAATACTTGCTAATGAACGCACTTAACGCGCGGCGTTAAGGGCATCCAGCAAACAAAATATTTGTTTGAAGTATTGGACGAACGAATTGAGAGGCTATATCTTATATATCACTAATAATAATACTACAACAATACTACAAATTTATATGTTACAATCGCTCGTATATGTTGTTGTTATAAAATTAAATTATCTGCTTGAGAGATACTTTTGCATCCTAGTCGATTGAAAATTAATTCAGGACATACCGTCGACGCACTGCGTCTCACGTCATTCGCAATTCCTCGCGGTAAAATAAAAGAAGCATTATTCATATAGTTTCTCAACGGCTCTTTTGCGTGCCTACAAAATATCATGAGAGAGAATCGATGTTAGTACGAGAAAGATCAGCCGTGTGTTTTTTAGCGATATCGTTACGAGCATTATACTCGTACTCAGCGGAGACAGTTGCACGAACGCTGAGCAGCAATCGAACGTAATTGATCTTTAGATCTTTAGATCCAGCGAATTAGTCTCGAGCATCAAAAGCCGATGCAACGCATTTCTTGGCTAAGCGCGTCCGTTATCGCACTGTTCTAAACTCGGCGTTACAACGCTTCGACTTGCTGTTCAAAGGAAGCAATACGAGTGGGGGTGCGTACATAAAATTCAAATTCGCTTTCTTGTTCTTTTGTACAAACGACGAAACAGCGATTCGCAGTGAAATCATCGCGCAGAGATCAGCGTAAGAATGCGTATGCGGCAACGCTTGCTCAAGTATTTCATGTATTTCTTCTTTTCGTTTTTCTTTTTGTATAAGAACTCCTACACCTGACTCTTAACGCGATGTACGTCCTTTTGATTACCTTATCATTGATTACACTATGTACAAGTGGTTTTTTTTTATAAATTTCGAAATCGCACTATTCGCACGACATATCGCCGTAATTTTTTCCCTCTTCCGTGCGATTGACGGTGTTAGTCTATATCATGTTCTCGCGTCCTCAACAATGTGATGATCGGGGTCGTGTGACCCTTTCGTCGAATTTCGTACAAACGTTACTACGGTGAAATCGACCCTGCGTCAAATCACGTCGACGGTTGACGTAGGATCGATCATTTCTCTGGCACTATAACGTGGAGTGAATCGATATTAGGCGATGCGATGCCTCTGCGATGATAATGACGATGACGATAATGGCGATGATAATGATCTTCCAACTACCGGAAGTAATCAATGACACTATATGAAGGATATAGGTCATTATTAAACTAATACGGAATCCGTTTTAGTTGCGAGCAGGAAAAGCTTGGGACAACGATTGATACTGGCACTCTCGAACTCTGTGCACACTCTTGCGCTCTTTTCATACCGAATGTCTACGACGGATTGGAGCGAAAGCAAATGAGATATCTAATGAGTTTCATAACTCGTTTTCACGTCGACTCAGCCACCCTTTCGAATTTAATCCCTCGCACGACGAAAGAAAAACACAGAGATTGTCCTCGACACCCGCGCAAATGAAAAAGATTTCTCACGCTTGTGAAAGAGAGGAGAGGAAAGCAAGAAACATTCGGAAAATCCGTCCGGTAGTTAGACGATTAAAAAGAAGGGCTCAGCTAGAGCGTACTAACGAACAACAAAAAAACCAACAAACTAAAAAATGGATGAACGAAGAAATGTGCATCTCGCGTTCGCGTATCCGCGTACAACAAATATCAGTACTCGCAGACGTGCGCCGCGCTTTAGAAGCGCCACGTATTTAACGTCTTTCTCCCCTCTTCTTTTTTTCCCCTTTTTATTACTTCTTATATGTACATACGTATTGGTCCGACGAGTGCTTTTTTTCGAAGAGAGGACCTATCCTTCCCTCCCTTCTTACGAAAATACACGTGTTACTTTGTTTTTTTTGATATACATGCCACGAATACTAGAACTCGGAGATACGTCCGCGAAAAATAAAAGCGGTCGGTGTTGTCGAGATGAGATCGTTATCTAACGATTCGGAAGTGTTCGCGATAGATCAGTGCTGGGCAACCCTAAAAATATACATACAGCCTATATGTATATATGCGATATATACTGTCTGAAATAGCTCGTATACTAAGTATCGAATAACACAGCTAAAATCTCACTACAGTACGTCCTAGTACATCGATGTACTTGCTGGCTACGATCGTTCCTGAATAAAATTTACGAATTGAAACTCTAAGACATCGGGAATTATTGCCATTAGCACGAGTGAATCCGTCCTAATCGCGCGAAATTAACTTCTATCACACGCAAAATTCCCCCAAAACAACCGTCTCTCATTTTTGTGCAATTCCAGTCTTGACGTTTAATCAGAAACGTATAAACAAACCGAAGCTTCATCGATTAAAAACAATTCCGTACGTTACTCCCACGCGGCTATTCTTGAATAGCGCGCGAAATGAAAAACCGCGACATCGAGAATTTTCCACAAATTCGGCGCAGCGTAAAAAACCGCGAAAACGATTGACAATTCGCTGTCTTATCGAACTCCAACGCGCATAACCGAACTAAAATATATCATTAAAGTAAAAGAAATCGCCCTCGAGAGCGAGCATCTATTTCAAACAGTACACTGATCGTTACAAAAATTCACAAAACGTAAAATCGCGCCCCCGTGCGCATTCGTAGAGAATTTTCTTTAAATATTCAAACACACACGCACGTACCGATGCACACACACACACACACACACACAAAATTATCATCACCAAACGATAACCTACGATATCTAAATGTGTGCCTTTGCCCAACACTGAAAATATATATGCTTAAAACGAAGAAAAACGAGAAAGAAAAAAAAAACGAGAGAGAGATCGAAATGAATAATTAACCGATCGGCCGGAACTGCAATTTTTTTAGGTATTCCTAAGGCTACCTATTTTACTTAAACACTGATAATAAGCTACAAAATATACATATCACTATAATTAGGAGCTGCGCGGTCATATGCACGGAGGCTTTAATCACAGCTTTGTAGTACAATTAATATCTCGTGTAGAGCTGCCCAATGACTAGCCAACAAAAAGATCAATTGCTTTCTCCCATTGCACCACGTTTTCCGATTTTGGTCGTGAACCAAAAAATTGCACATTCGCGAGTTCACTTCTTTCTACGTGCACAATTAATCCAATTGATCGCTTATTTAATTTCAATTAACGCGTTAATTATTGTTCGGTTAATTAGCCACGTTAATTAACGAAACGGATCAGGTTAACCAATTGTCCCGTCAATTAAAGTTAATCGTCAACAAGAACGTGTGTTTGCGCGGCTCTTCTTTATCGATGAAAGACTATCGCACCGTTCCTTCCGCTCGGTGCGCCTATTCGCGCCTCCCTAATGGAAATAGAAATTAGAAAGAGAGGAGAAGAGAAGAGAGAGAGAAAGAGAGAGAGAGAGGAGAAAAGAAGAAGGAACGAAAAAGAGAAGACGAAAGAGAATAAACGTTTCACAGTCCGTAACAGTAAAAATCAGTCTTACCCAGGTGACTTCGTATTCTCTTTAAATCGAAAGCCTCAGGCATACGCGCACAGGATCATTTTGATCGTTTCACGACGCGAAAATTAAATCGTCGGTAAGAGAGTAAGAGAGTGTGTGTATGATAGTGATAGAGAGAGAGGGAGAGAGAGAGAGAGAAAGGAGAAAAAGAGAACCACAAAAAGGGGGCTCGAGGCACGTTTAGTGCAAATATATATAGTTATGTTTTTGTTCAATTTGTGTATCTTCGTAGCTCTATAACGCGACCTCGCATACTTAATGGATGAGTTGCATTTTGCACGCGGTTGCAAAACTACCTTAGAGTCAATTACTTGAAAGCGCATGACCGCGTATGAGACGTGCACTTTTCGGAAGCTAAACTCGCAGCTTTACGCGCGGTTGTCATGGTTCCCCCGCGCTTGCACCGAAGCTTGTGGCGTTAGTGAACAGGAGGTAATAATAAAACTAATAGCTAATATAGTGCTCGAGGCAGGTAATGAAGCCGCGGTCGATCTCGGCGAGTTTAATTGCCCATTTCGCAAGCACGCGGAAAACGGACCTCCTGCGAATCGTCCCGATCATATCACAGAGATATCCGTTCCCGGACGCTTCGAGAAACATCGAAGTATAAACTCACCGATCGCCACATCGGTTTCGGTCCCTGGCTCGAAGAGTCAACAGCCTATTGCGCCTCTTTTACGTGGAACAGCTTTATACGACGTGCGTCCTCCTACTTCCGCATTTATATTACATCCCCGTATACGCCATACGTATATGTATATACAATATATATATCTGTGTAGAGTACACCTCGATATGTGGAAAGTAAGTACAACTATGGAACTGATTCTCTGAAGCTGCCTGTGTGTAATTAGTCTTCCGCGGGGGAGCAATTCCTGTCGCGAGCGCGGGCGAGCGTACGCGTCCGCGGAAGGATAAAACGTACTACGATTTAAAGGGAAAACTAGAGAGAAGGAATTCTCGTAGCGTCTCAAGCTAAAGAGAAACCATGACGACTATCTGACGGACCGTAGTCGTATGCGCTATACGTGGTTGCCAAAATAAACGCGCGCTCTCGCGTGTGTCTGTGTGTTGTGTGCCTGCGTGTGTTTCTGTGTTTTAGCGTTAACGATGGTAGTAGCTTTTAGTATTAATAGTAATACATAATAGTGGTAGTAATAGTAGTTGTGATAGTAATAGTATAGTAATAATAGTGATGGTGATATATAGTTGGGGAAATGTCGGTGGTGGTAGTGGTGGTGGTGATAGACGTGGTAGTATTTAGTTAGAATAGTAATAGTGGTGGTAGAGTATTAGCATTAGCGGTATATAGTGTTACTGTTGTTCTTGTAGTTGCTTTTGTTTTGTAGTAAAATTAATAGTAGGGTGTCTACCAAACACACCGTCGGTAGAGACCAATGTCGGTAAGATTTTTGACGGCTACATCGCTCCGTGACATTGCTTTTCTTCCTCTTCTTTGTTTTGATATCCATCGAAAGTAGTAAACCAATAGAGTTTAAACATTGTAGATAATAATTACTATCTATATCACAGATCCAAGTGACTAAACTTCTTTAAAAATATAATATAAATATGTGTACGTGTGTTGTAATGGTTCGCATAATATATATACACACATATATATATATGTATATGTATACTCGCAGAGACGTGATTGAAACCAGACGAAACAAGAGTGCTGAAACTGCTGAAGACTCCGTGGAAACGTCACGCTTCGGTTTCGACTAGCATCGCGCCAGCGATATACGATCGATCACCTAGGACGTCACGTCTGTATCCTTTGCGCCGGCACAATCTCGTCGATGATGATTAAAAAGCCGCGCCTCGGACAGGTGCTATTTAATCTCGTATTAAAAGTATACTCGTGAGTATATGGAATCCATCAGATGGACACAAAGTGCGTTAGTGAGCGTTTGCCGAGCGGTAAGCCGATCAAGCGGATCAGCCGCATCATCGTCGTCGTACCCTTCTCCGACCGAAACTGAAACCATATTCCTAAATCGTGTGACGTGTGGAGCATCCGTTGTTACGAATCCGGAAGTGGATGCTCCTTGGTAGGCACTTTGAACGAACGACGCGATTAGATAGCACCGGTTTACGCTCAGCTCGTCGGCGAGTGATCGACGATGCTAGGTGAAAACTCGCGTTCGTTCAATCGTTACGCTGAGTGTACTCCGAATACGAGATCGTGGGGCTCGTGTTCGAATACTGAGCGTAAAGGTAGAGCGCGGGATGAAGCCCTGGCGGAGGGATGCCGCGGTGCAGCTGATGCTCCGATGGGTCTAGAGACGGGGACGACAAGTGCGGATAGAGTTGGGAGTTGGGGCTGTCCAAGGAGTTGGAGGAGCCCGTCGTTTGGTAGACACTCTGCGGTGTGGTGTGCTCGTGAGATATAGGTGAGTTAAGTGTAAACGGCGATGGCGCCGCGGTGGGACATACTACTTGCTGCGGTGACTGGTGCGACGGCAGGGACTGGGAGGCACTGCTGCCGTCTAAACACTAGTTGGTGGTCTGCGGATGCAGCAGCGGTAGAGGAAGCTGCAGATTGTTCTGCTTGGCTAAACTGGCGATCTCCGCGGCGATGCCGCCCTTGGATCCCGCGAGGCCGTCCAACGACGATGGTCCCTCGCTGTAGCGCAGATCACAGACCGGACTCTCGAAGCCGGTGCCCGGCGTGCCGCCACCACCGCCACCACCGCCACCACCACCGCCGCCACCACCACCACTACCGCCGCCGCCGCCGCCGCCGCTGCCGCCGCCGCCGGTGCTCTGCGGCGTCGGCGGATTGTGATTCGTGTTACCCTGGCTCATGTCGCGGTGCACGCGATTCTGATGCCGTATGAGATAACTGTCGCGTACGAACGTACGTCCGCAGATATTGCACTCGTAAGTGGTACTGGCGGTGTGTGTACGGATGTGAATCGCAAACTGGCTCTTGGACGTGAACGTGAGGGAACATCGGTCGCAGACCAGCGGCTTCTCGGCCACGTGACTCCAACGGTGCGCGGTGACGTAGCTCTTCACGGCGAAGCGTTTCTGACAGATGTCGCAGGCGTACGGCCGTTCCCCCGTGTGCACCCGTTTGTGAGTATTTAGACTGCTCTTCTGTGTAAACCTCTTCAAGCAGAGCTCACACTGGAAAGGTCGCTCGCCCGTGTGCGTCCTCATGTGCACTTCCAGGTAAGGTTTGCGGCAAAAACTCGCCTCGCATACTGTACAATGGTAGGGCTTGTTCCCCGAGTGGAGCTTCATGTGCACGTAATAGGACGAGGCTGAGGACAGCACCTTGCCGCACACCTTGCACGGTTGCGGCTTGGACCGAGAGCCCTCCTTCACCGTCTGCTGCCCCGTAGACTGACGACTCGGTGGCTCCTGCTGCATACCCTGACTCTGCTGCTGTTGTTGCTGACTCTGTTGCGTCTGTTGCTGTTGACTCTGCTGCTGAACCTGCTGCTGACTTTGCTGCTGTTGACTCAGCTGCATCGTCTGCTGCTGTTGCGGCTGCAGATGACCCTCCTGCTGGGAGAGGTCCTCCCTGTCGTCGGACAGATTCACCATGGAGTTGGATCCGTCCGAGCGGCTGGAAGCAACAGAGTAGAACCCCATGGGCTCGCTCTTGATCTGTTGCTCGAACATGGATGTCATTATGTCGGTCTGCTGTGCTTGAGCCAGCTGCTGAGACTGCTCGTCCGGCTGCTGCGCTGCTTGCTGATGGGGGAGCAGAGTCAGGTTGCGCTTGACAAACTGCTCATATCCTGCGTACCAATCCACCTGTGAGCGTGAGAAGAAGAAAAACGCTAGAAGGGGGGAAAAAGCGGTGACAGCGCGCGGATGACAGTGCGCTACGAGCGTTACCGGGACGGGCCGTGACACGCGGGCTGTCAGGTTAGACCGTGCGCTTTTGACATTTATCTTTGACAAGTGACAGAAGGTAGTCGGACGATCAGCTGATTGCATAACTTTTACGCGCAGAGCCTTCGTGCACGGCGCGACGCCGTCGCGAAAGGGCCCGTCCGTGAGCGATGCCGAGCGACGCGAGCCGCTCTATTTTTAAAAAGGCGCCGTGGAGAAACGGCGGAACATTTTGACGGCGGAAAGCGCGATTTCTCGCGCGAGCTGCGGCCGAGCGCGGCGAGTGGGGGCCGTGTCTCCGTTGCGCGCTCGACGACGAAAGGATTAAAACCCCGCCGTCCTTCCCGATACGAACCTTTGCTTAGTGTAGTGGTCCGGGTCTAGGGTCGAAAAACGTCGCGCCTCATCAGAGCGCGCGCCTCCCCCGGTCGTCGTGCGGCTTCACGGGCAATCGCGAAACATTTGTACGGCCAAATTGTTTTTCTCCGACACAAAATATAAGATGGCTGCTACTATATTTCGCGACGAGCCACCTATATGCGCGCACACACACACACACACGCGTGCCGCACCGACGTCGAGCGTGATGCGCGAGCGAGCCTCCTAATTGGTCGCGCTCCTTACGCCAGCCGCGTCGGGACGCGCCAAGCGCGTCATTCGCAGCTGATTGGACGCGATCGTGACGTGCGAATTTCGTATCGCGCGTGATGTAAGGTCCGTTCGCTTCCGCGACGCTTCGTCCTTCTCGTCCTCCCGAAGCCCAGGGATACGCGTCCCTTCCTTCAAGCGCGCGGACTGAACGAACGGCTTGTTCCGACAGCGAATCACTTTATGAAAGTGAATAACTTTAAAGGCGACAGGTATCGACCAATAGCGTGTCTGCGAAAAGATGGCTCCCAATTGGCCGATCGCCGAGGCCATTTCGCGTGCGTTCACGAACGGTGAGTGATTTGAAAAGCACCATATTCAAGGAGCGCTCACGGGAAAAAAAAAATTTGTGTTGCTCACAACAGCGACATACACGTTACGGTTTGCAGCGGATAAGATTCAGCGGTAAATATGTATCGTATATATTTATATAATTATATATTTAATACTCGTAGGAACAATTTTGTACACTATTTGGCACTGTAAAATTATAGCACGAAAAATATAATTATGTTATATCATTCGATATATGATATGGTGTAGGGCGGATCGAAAGAATTTTATGTCATGATAGATGTCTTATCAGATAATAGGATAAATGTCTATACATTTTCTATTGAATAGACTTGAATGTTAAAATATTCGGTTTTTAGCATATACTCGACATATCTATTGTTTGCAAAGCAACACGGTACATTAGGATTGTCGCGGCTAACAAACGTGGCGAGAAGTCGAAGGACTCGTTATTATATCGTATGTTAATGCATTATAGTTTAGAGAAATGGCTGTATCGTCGGAGGATGTCATGAATACCCAGGGTCTCAATGATCCTGTAACAAAGGCAGTGGTTGATAATATAATGGGCAATTTGCCTACCAAGAAGCCTCTCGTACGTTGTGAAGACTGTGACCTTTCCTTCACAAGCCAAACAGTATTAGATACACATTTACAAGGTGCACGTCATGCCAAACAGGTTAGACATGAGAACAGATACATATGATATGTCTTGTATATACAAGGTACATATCATTTAATATCATTTCACAGTTAAGATCGAAGAATATAATGGCGTCACTCGAAGAGACAAAAATCGGATTTACAAAGGATGAGGATACAAATGGGTTGAAATGTAATGTTTGTAATGTATGCCTGAATTCTATACAACAGTTGCAAACACATCTCAATGGTAATAAATAAAAGATTTTGCTTCTGATACATATTATGTGAATTTATGTGGTGTATATAACATTTGTAAAATATAAATATATATATATATATATAAATATAAATTGATATCAAAATGTTATATTTGCAGGAAGTCGTCATAAAAAGAAATTAATGAGAGGTAATAATAAATCTTATATGGTAAGAAAAGCACTGCCATATGGTGTTAGAAATAGTCGCTTAACATATCTGGAAAAGATAGAGAAACACGCTACTGTCCTCATTTATAGTTTAGTATTGTTCACATTTGCATGCTTGACTCTAATTGTCACTTTTGCTTTTCAACTCTTTGTATGAACTATAAATAACTGTGTCAAAATTAACTGCTTGCCACTTGCACAGCTTACATTATTGTATAATTTCAGTGCTAAAGTGCCTATGATTGCAATTCATCGCTCTCGTGCGTTATCATGTTATTTATTTAGTATTTAATGTTCATTTAAATAAGTATTATATATTTATTATTCAATTGCTTGCTAACATATTATTGTGAAAAGCAATTAAAACAGACTTGTTCGCTTATATGTTACTTACGCGCCTATACTGAATAAGTTAAACACATAGTTGACAACACCTATCAACTATGTTTTGTGTACAGGTATTATATATATATATATACACATACGTAATTGTTTGTTAGTATTATATTATACATATATTATACCGCTGTATTATTTTGTAATAATTATGCTCTTTGATTGCTTTTTTATACAATATGCGAAATATTTTATGACGGAAAATAAACCAGAGTAACATACTTTAAGCCATTAAAGCACACACTGGTGTTGCAGATTTTTTTTTTATAATTTTCATTTCAATTCCTGAATTCATTCGAAGAGAAATAATGAACACGGGCAATGATTAAATACGTGTATTATTTTTTCTTTACATTCGCTGTTACGTACTTATTAATAATCAATCTTTTTATGGCATGAATGTAGTGTTCAAGCTGATTTATTATCACACATTTCCGCTTTCGCGGTTGTGATACATAGATAGTGTTGATCGTACATTGATGCTTAGGTGAATGGGATGGCAAAGAGGTTGTCACCCAAGGCGCTTCATTTCCATCATCAACCGGTAATGAACAGCAGCCTGTGAAGGATCCTGCGAAAGAGGTTTCTCTTAGCTGCGATATATGTGTCAAATTCTTCAATTCCCCGATTCAATATGATATGGTACAATAATATGTATAATTGTGCACATACACACACACACACACACAACGCGTCTATTCTTATCCCATTGTAGTATTTCACAGCGAAAATCTTACTGAAATATAAACAATATCTTCATTAATTCATCTGCAAGATATATTGTTTCACACAATTCACGATACACACACCAGAGTGCACCACACAATGTATCATGTACTTAACATTTAATATTGATGCTTATATATTTGCAGCATATGAATTCGGTAAAGCATGCTGATAAGCTGAGGAAATCTAAGAACAAGAAAAGATTTTCCCCCTATTGGAAAAAAACGAAACTGTATACAACCACTAAAGGTGAAGTACAATCATTGTCAAACAGCTTTGTACCAGGCGGTTTTACGTACCAACCGTAGGGTATATATTGAATAACCCTTGCAATTTGCTTGTAATTCTACATCAACAAATTATATTCGTAATTCGATTATTGAATGATCATTGTACATTTATTATATGTGAACGTAAATATTATTTAAATTTCTAAAACAAAAATTCAAGCTGCAAGTCTCCGTATAAAAACACGTATCATTTTACTCATATTTTACAACATATATATTTTATATATGTTGATCAATCGTGTTGGTGTTATTAATATTAGCCAAATTTTAATGTACACAAGTCGTGTAAAATTCATCGTTGCAACATCGTTGCAGAAAACAAAAATTACAACTTTTAGTTTTCTGATACATGACTTATATGTGCATGTATATATTGTATCTGGATCGTATCAAGAATTATACATACAAATTTATTGAGTCGTAAATTAAAGCTTGTTTATTCACGAGAAATTATCCTAAATCGTTTCACTAACTGGATGTATATTATCTTGTGATAAACCATCATTTCCAGGCTGGAAAAAATAGAAAGTGATCAATTAGCATCGATAATTATTTCATATATTTGTTTATTTGTCGTTTCTTTTCTCTCTTTTTCTATTTAATATGTTAATGTGTGTTACTTTAATTTTAAATAGAGTAGAATAAATGTATGCTAAGAAAAGAATATCGATATATTACCTCAATAACATATGTTTTCAATAAACGACGTAACTCTGCATTTTGTCGTCGTAATGATTCTGTTTCAGCATTTAGCTGATATCGTTCCTTTAATATTTCGTGATACTTTCTCAGTCCGACCAATAATCCGTCCCAAAGTCGCTCCTTCTTTACCGAGAAAATTTCACTATATCGCTTCCAAAAATTTGTTACATCTGCAATAGTCATATTTCGAGACACAATCGCTTTCTTTGCTATTAATTTTTCCTGAAAAGTCTGCGGCATTTCCTTGACAAAGTGATATCTTTCTAGCAAATCCTGTAAGGCTTTTATGACGAACGTTGTTTCGATTTCCAGTAAATGTCCTTTATCGCACAGTAAACGTCGTTGCATTTCGTCGTCATCTGTTTAAAAGAATTAAGATACATTTCGTTACTTGAATAATGAATGTATTACAACGACATAAGAATTCAAATTAACTTCCAATTTCTCTTCAAGAAATATTTTGCCTGAAATGTCACGTACCCTTAGCGATATCGCTAACAGAGTTGACAGAAACTGAAGCACATTCCGCGATAGGAAGTAACGTTTCACTCAAGGAATTTTGCGGTGAGGCACTTGTAATACGCGCATCGTCGATAGGAGTAGACAATTTTTCGTCACAGATTACTTCTTTCACAGCTGCAATCAACTTAGCTTCGTCCTCTGTGAATTCCTCGGGAGAACCGCAGATATCTATTTGCTCAACGCTAATATTTCAAACATTTCACTTATAAAATAATTTTATATATATATATAGAGAGAGAGAAAGAAAGAGAGAGAGATTATATTATCCTATAATATATTTTATAATATATATACTCTGCTTTCGAAGAAGACGATTTAGGAGATTCGACATAAACAGGTTCGCTTTTATCCTTGCTTGTGCATGTGGGACAATACGCGTAAGGCAAAAAGAAATTCAAGAGGAATCCGAGGGTCTCTTCGGATTTAATGTTTAGTGCCTGATAACGTGAGATAACATCAAAATAAAATAATGTCCGTAAGTATAATTAATAAGTATAATAATATTAGTATGTAAAATACACATTACCTGAAATACATTATCCAATCGTATGACTAACTGATCATTCGCAGTGTAAGGTACAAGCAACTGGAGCAATTTATCTTCGATCAAATAATCGCAACGATCGGCGATTAGCTTTATTATATGATTCAATAACCGTCTTTCTAAGTTGATCTCTTCAATGGTGCTGGCCGGTTTATAAGATTTACATATTAATCTTTTCTCGACAGCCAACCTGTTTTCTTAGATAACGCAAAAAAATCTGTTTTCTTAGATAAAGCATGGGAAAATGTAATACACAATCAATTAAAGTATCACTAATCGTTACCTTCTTCTATGTTACATATCACGCTACAATAGGACGGCAAGTCTTCTTTCCTCAATAAGGTTTCTTCCGGTAAACTCCATTCTATGCCTAACGCTTGTTCATATATGACTTTATCAGTGGCTAAAATCTGAAACATTATCTTTTTGGTAACGATATCGTTGAGTAAGATCCAGCACGTACCTTATCGAGCAACTCATTTGCATTTTTCATGTTCATATCCCAAATTTGCATATATTTCTTATCATTAATGTTCGTGAAGTGAGTTGATTTGTCTACTAGTTCCAGAATATTTTTGCGTGCTTTCACGACCTGATCAGTAAGTCTTTCTATTTCAGTTCTCGTGTTCTCTTCTAACTCTGCGTAATCCCTCCTCAAGGCATTAATGACATCTTGAAGCCTGAAATTATTAATCGTTGTTAATCAATTGAGTCTTCCTATATTTATCCATACTAATTACTCCACTTATTGAGCCTCCTCTTTTGCTGATTCTTTACTATAGCATTCTCGTCCTCTCGGCATTTAAGCACGGCGTAACTATAATCCAGCTTCTCGATGTTCATGAAGCACATAGCTTTCGTGTTCTGCACCTCTTGCTGGAGCTTCTGAATCTCGAGCTCGAATGTGATCTTTTGAGCGCGGTATTCTTCCTGATGCTCGATTATGACTTTTCTCATTTCCTCTTCGTAATCGTGCATTATTTTTTCTCGCTCGTCCAGTCCCGCGAAGTTACTTTCTTGTAACTTTCTATACATTGCCTCCCATTTCTCCCTGATATTTTCCACCAGCACTTTACGCTCCGACTCGATCACTTCATTGATGAGCGACAGTTCACGACGGTACGCTTTCGCCATGAGATTGATCTAAACAGAACACATAAGATTAAGATCGCGAGTTATGAGGCACTATGTATGCTTGCATATGTAACTTGTTTATCCATTCGGTCGATCAGTAAATCTATGTCCTCGTTCTGACTCTTCTGGTCGGTGACAAATTGGAGATCGGCGTTTTCCAATTCCTGTCGCAACATCGCAATAACCGCGTCTTTTCTCGCCATAATTTCCAAACACCTGGCATTTTGAGCCTCCATCTCCGCGTGCATGTCCAACGGATCTTTAGACGCGAGAATACTCGACCACTTGTCGTTGATATCTTTATATCTGCTCATACACTCCAGATCGTCTTCTTCGAGCTTTTGCAGCAACATTTCCCTAATCTCCTGCTCTTTCTTTCGTCGTTGCAATTCTCTAGCATCGTTTGCAACTCTCACACAAGATACCTGTGCGTATATAATGATTAAGTCGTATTTAATGAGATATTTTTATGTTAATATTAATAATATATTGGTGAGTATATGTTGATATTTTTTAGAGTCTCAGCACCCCATAGGTAATTATCTTGAACAAATTTGTTGATTTAAGTCAAGAAATCTAACACCAACCACTTCATCTCCTTCAACTGACAATTTCTCCAAGAGTTCAGTACTAACGAGGATCTGTTTCTCGATGGGAGTCCTCTCAATAATTTCCTCTTCTTCAGCTTGTATCTGTCTACAAAATAATAATAGCTGCATAAAAAGGAAAGGGCATCATATAGTAAAAAATTGCAATATTTCAATATTACAAAAGCAGTGAGAGACAAGATTAGAAAAATTTATTAAGACATTGTTATATAATATTTAATATTAAAATAAATAAAAGAAAATTTGAGTTGAGTACACTATATGTTTAAGTATAATTAGAAAAAGAGAGAAATGGATATTTAAAAAAGTAAGAAAAGTAGACGTTCTCTTACTTTGTTAGCGCCTCTAGACGCCGCTTAATACGAAGTTGGCGCGCTAATTTCCGCTCGTTTGGATCCGACGACGTAATGGATGGCTCCTCCGCGTCTTCCACGAACTCCGAATATTTGTTATTCATTATTTGTTCTCTCTCTTTCTGCGTGAACGTTTGTTGCGCTGCGAATCTTAACGATATGAATAAACCTTGCTAATAAATTATGCCAAACTAGGAAGGTTCTGAGTTACGTCGCAGCACGTTGCATGTTCGAGGCAATAAAAGAGCGAAAACGAAGGCAACGACCATGGATACCTCCCTGTTATTCTAAAATATCGAACATACATGTTTGTTTGCTCAATATTCAATCGTCAACTTGAGACGAACAGCTGTTTGTTTCCATGAGCTACGAGGTATAACCAATAAGAAGGCAACTTTCAATCGCTGTTTACAGACGCAGAGTTTTATATTTCAGACTGTACTCTTATAATAAATCGTACGAATCCGAAAAATAATAATGTCGTCCACGCGATATACACAATAATTAACAATCTCTTTATTAAGTAAAATAATATATATAATGTCAATTTTAAATAATTTCACGTGATACATTCTGTCGGTAACCGTTACGATCGGTAACATTAATAATTCATCGCACTTGATAAGTGCCAAATTCCAAGAGATGTCGCCACGCGTTACTTTACGCACGCACGCAGACGTTCGCGGCCGAGAGCCGCGGCCGCCATTATCTTACGTCGTGGGTAGCGGAGAGGATGCAAGAAACGGTAGTCGTCGGGAAACTCGACAAAGCCAAAAAGGGTCCTCTCAGAGACGAGTATGATAAATGTGCCGGTGGACGGGCGCGCGCACGCTCCGTCATCGCGCGTTATTTCCGTGCCGGGCTTACGTAACGTAAGTATGGCCATTAGTTCGGTTCGTCAGCGAAGCAGCCCAGCAGACGTATCAGATTTATATTTATCTATCTGGAGCGTGGATTACGTCGAGCAATTAGAACGCGCTACGAGTGCTTCGCTTTATCGCTTTCAGCGCGGAAGAAAGAAAGAAAGAAAGAACGAACGAGCGAACGAACCGCCGAATGCCGTTCGCAGAGACGAGCACCTCGTCACTTTGTCTCTCTCTCTCTCTCTCTCTCGTACGACGCGTCCGTGTTGTAACCTTCACAGCGCGGGGTATGAGCGGTTTAATGACGAACGAAGAAATAGCTTTATCCAACGTACAGTCATAAGTGCTGTATCATCAATCGTCGCGATAGAAGAGCCGAGATAATTGTAGCGAGATTGCCGCTCGGCTTGGCCAATCGCATCTCCGTGACTCGGTAACGGCACAATGGACGCGTACACATCTTAATTCATACGCACCGTGAATTAAGACGTATGCACGCGCACTCACGTTGCAACACGGTGGATTAAAAACGTCATGACGATTCACGAAAGCGTGCGTGAGCGTATGATTGCGATTTTTCCGATTGCGACGACGCTCATTTAGATCGTTAATGTCAGGCGGAATATCCCGGATGTCCCCGTTTCTTGCCTTCGACTCGACTTCGACCGCTAATGGCCTTCGCCGCCAATTTTATTGACTTCCATCACCGCCGAGTGACGAGTAGATTATCGCGACGATAATACATTATCGCGACGAAATCGGATTGTAGTCGGAACGGTGACGCTGGCGTCGCCGTTGACGTTAAACAATGAGGAGATAACAACGGCGAAGGTGTTTTATATTTAACATATCTTTCACACGTGTGTCTTGTTACTATGACAGCCGAGCGTTAGGAGAATTTAACAGATAAAAAGAAAAGAGTAACGAAGAAACCGAACGAGTGAGCATTTTTGCGCGCCTTTTTCGCGTTTTTGTCGAATTTTCTCCGAAGTTTTACGACTCGGCTGTGAAGGAAATACGCGGAAAAGAATGTAACACTTGAGCAATATCCCATATTGAACGTAGATTTCACTGCGCCAAGCGAATACCACCGTTGAACGAACGAAGCGAGTGCCGAACCAGCTATAAATCTCGTTATTTTCGGTGTTTGCTCAGACCAGAAGATTTAACAAACAGAAGCTAAATGTGAAGAAAAATAGAATCAGCCGCATAAGAACAATACCTTTTACACGTTCATGCATGCGTTACAATCTACAATCCGTTTTGTACGATCTGTAATTAGTAACAGAATTCTGTTTACAAGTTTATATGTCGTGCAATACAAACGACACATTGAAAGATTTATAAATGCATATATGTTTATTAAGCATCGACGTTTATCGATAATTCATCGGATTGAAGTGCACACAATCGCCGGCTGTTTCGGTGATTATTTTACAATTCAGAAAGTCACCCGATGCATCTCGACTTGTTCGATATATCCTCGAATGTGTATTTTAGAATCAAGTTTCTTCTTACGATACTGAGTGTACGACTGAATATAATTAATTGTATATAGAAGTACGTTCTTGGATTATCTAACAACATTTATCCTTCAAATATTTTCCTACAAATTCGGACTCACAAATTTTCTCGTACATTATAAGTTCATCTAGAATGTGATGCTCAACACGCTGATATATATATATATATATATATATACTGATAAATTAACGCATTATCACGGATCAACATAGAATATATTTTTGTATCGCTGTCGATGATGTAAAAAAAAAAGAAATCGGAGCCCGTTGAAATTATACGGATTTGCATAAAATATCGCGGAATATCGACCGAGGAAACATGCGAGGTTCACACGCACAAGGCACACGAACGCAGACTGTCCACGAGACCGTAACGCGACGCGTTACGCTCCGAATTCGACGGCGGTTGCCGTTTTCGGACGACGAAGCGGCGGTGACGACTTGGGGCTTGCAACGGAAATCGCTTTCTCTCTAGTCGAGCAACGTCCTGCGGTCACACGAACGGACGTTACCTGCCGTTGCGGGCTCGACGTCGCGTAACGTACGACATGCGAACGTGAACGACGATCGCTCGCTTCTCTCGCGACCAACCAACGATCGTACGAAGCGTAGCATAAAGACGCTCCGGACACGTTCCTCGGTGAGGAGATCAAAATGGCGACGGCAGGCATGCAGCTAGCGTATTGTTCGCCCTGAACAATTCACGGACCGTCCATTCGTGGGCTGTTCTGTTTAATGTGACGTCCACTTTAGACAACCAATGGAATTCGGGGATGTTATTACGTAGTTTTTGCGTGTCGTATAAATATGAGAATGACTTGGAGATTTATAGATGTGTATGCATGCAGATGTGTGTGCATAAATGTCTATTTATTTACAAGTGATATTTTACTAAATTGTTTTCTTACAAATAGAATGTCTCGTCTTATTTTGTTATTAATTAGGTAAGTTATTTGAAGCAGAAATGACTTTGGTAAAAGACATTGCGTATATTTCACTGTCTTATGTTCTTAGCTGCTGTCAAAGTGATAGAACAAGTGATATGTAATGACAATTCAATAGTCATCTACCTTATTTATATTTCTACATGTATATTTCTCTACGTGTATGCGTTGAGCATTTATATTGAATGACACGTAATCTCCTTCAGTAGATATGTTAAAATGAGTATTATTCTTGAAACAAAAAATATATACATTGTCTTTTAGATTTATTTCACGAAATATGTTAGGAAACACTTATCTATAATTAGTCAAATGTGGTTATCAGCTATTCTGATAGTTATTTTAAAGTTATCGAAAAAGTTATTTAGTGCACTTCGACCTGTTCAAGTATATTTTCGGACGTGTATTTCAAATAGTTCTTTTTTAAGTTATAGTGATTGATTGAGTTATAATAAAATGCCTAATTGACCGAGTATAATGAAAAGTATATGATGAAAAGTCAGATTTTTTCTTGTAACTGTCAGAGTGACACGCGATACTCGGCAGTTGCGAGACTCTACTTTTGAATTAGAAATCCGGCTCATTAAAGATTGATAATTTTACCCGGAGGGGAATTACACCGAGCGCGTGATTCGTCATAACGCTCGTGTTTTTCGCGAGAGTCAACAACTCGACTTCTAGGAGACCTCTCATTATAAAGAACTCTGAACCCTTATCCCGGGCGGTGCACCGAATCTATGCCGTTTATGCGGAAAACGCTTATCCACGCGCACGCCTCATTAATCCGTACGCGCGCTATCGAGCCGGCGCGTTTGTTTGATCGTTACTTCCTTGATTAGAGAGAACGTCACGAAGTTAAGTACTTTTATTTTCGTAATAATCCGATTGTCCGTCTTTATTCTCGGTAGAAAGTACCGATGCCCCGGGTAATTGGCTGCCCCTAAACCGGCCCTGGAGCAAGAGAGAGAAAGAGGGCGAAAGAGAAGGAGCTCGTACAAGCGAGAAAAAGCGAGAAACAGAGAGAGAGGGAAAAGGACGGAAAGAAAGAGAGAAAGAGGAACGGACAACGCGTAACAAAGATGGCGGATAGATTCGACTCGATAGAGACGGTAGTGGTGGTGGCGGCGGCAAGAGGAAGAGGACGGATGACTTACGCGGAGTAGGAGTCGGCGGTACGGAGGGTGGAATGAACGGCGGGGAAAAGAACGGAGCATGAGAGAGAGAGAGAGAACACGAGGATCAGGCGAAGGGAGGAAAGAGGAGCAGGACGAAAAGGGACGAGAGCGGCTCAGGGGTTCGCGGGTTAGCTCGTTCGACCCGTTATCCCTTCCCTGCGTAGTCCCGCGAGTCCCCCTACCTGTCCTTGCTTCGATTCGAACGAGTTCCTCCCACCCCACGGCCTAAGGCACGCGAGCGCGCGCGCGCGCAACGTTTTCTCTCCCCGTCCCTCTCCCCCCCTCCCGTTCGCCTCCACCACGCCTGGCGGGCGACGATCGCGATGAGCCGGCCTCTCTCTCTCTAGAGTAGACTCGTTCCGTTCCCCTACTTCGCCGCCCCACCAAGCGACCGGACAGCGATGCCTAGCCAGCGAGCCTCGATACGCTCCCGCCACGGTGACGTCACTCCGAGTAGTGTAGTGCAGTGAGGAGGAGCCAAGTAAGCTCCGTTCGTGTTATATGTCCGAGTGTGCAAAGCGAGTGAATTTTCAAGACGTATGTACTACTATACGATACGTTTTAACGCGACGACGACGACACCGTCAGTGTGAGTAAGCTCGTTACGTGCGTCAATCATCGTAAACGCGTATATACGGAGGCGCGGGATTTTTCGGCGGGCTTATTCTATGCGGATATTAAGAGAGGCGGTCGCGCCGAAAATTCCTTGACGATCGCGTCGATGTTTTCGCTCGGCGGAGGCGAGCCGCGGGAGTAACACACACAGTGTAGATATCGGGCTGCGTCTTTCGAATCTAGCAGGTGCGTGTTTATACGTGATGCTCGGGCCGCGACAAGTATAGGCCAGTGGTGTGAAAGAAAAGAAAATTGCCCTGGAGTGAATATATACTCGGAGTGCAGGGTGTATGTATATGCGTCCGCTACGACACGTATGTACATGTATCCCGAATGCACGCGTGTATAATACGGGCGTATAGATGTGCACGGTGCACGTTTCGCTCCTCGGATAGGAGGATCGAGAGGAAGAGGAAACCGTCTCGCCGCGTTCGAATTAATTCGCGTTATCAACAGTGGGTCACACATTCGCGGCACGCGCGCGCGCGCTCCGACACTCGGAACGACGAAAGAACGAGAGAGAGCTCTCTTCTTTCCGCGAGCGGCACGTTCTCCGGCCAGCCTTGATGCGCCGTGCCGTGTGTCGTCGTGTCGTGCCACGTGCTGTGCCGTGCTGTGCCGTGACGTGACGCCGCGACGTCGTGACGTGTCGAGGGCTGTGTCGTTCCGAAACGGTGCGTGTTCGGAGAGGGAGCATCGGCGACACGAACGCGAGTGAACGTGTAAATCCCGAGAGAGATAGGGAGAGAGAGAGAGAGAGAGAAAGAAAGAAAGAAAGAAATTACGAGGCCACCGCCGCGAGATGGATCACCCGTGCTGTACCGTGCCGGGTGGAAGTGCTCGTGTGACGTGACGTGGTGATTACGAGAAAGAAGCCGGTACCCTCCATATCGCTATTCAGTGATGTACCATGTGGTGGGCTTCAGCGATCTTGATCCTCGCAATCATCATTACAGTCAGCGGTGCCCGCTATCTCGGCTCCCGTTTTCCGTCCTCTGCCGCCATCAGCTACTCCTGCTCCTCCTTCACCTCCTTCTCCACGTCGACGTGTCCGCTGTACGTCGCACAGCGAAAGTTTGATCACGAGGACCCCCTCGTAGTCGTCATTGTCGATTTTACGGTGGTGATAGTCGCAGCCGTCGCTGCCGTCATCGTGAACGTTGCCACTAGAACGCACGCACGAGCGATCGTTCTTCCAACGTGCCGCATCCTCGACGACAGCGACCGTCGCGTCTGCTGGGCTCACCTCTTCCTGGCTACTGACTAGTGATTAATCGTTTACCCCTGTCTGTTGCAGTAGAAAGGCAGAGGCATGTGCGGATACCGTGCGAATTAAAGTGAAGAGAGCGGCAAGTGACAAGTGCAAAAGAGGGTGATATATATATATTATATATATATATATATGTATATGTACAACGTGCATATGCATATATCGCTTTCGGGAGCGAGTTTTTTTTTTACTCCGTCGTGAGATCGAGTTTCTACCGTTGCCGCGTGGTTCCGCTTCGTTGCGGTGGATGTAACGTGTAACGATCGTGCATCCGACACGTGTGCGTTTCGTGCGTTTAATCCTCCTACAAACGAAAGAGGATAAAAGAGGGAACGAAGGAATCTCTATCTCTGTCCGCGCTGTATACAGTTCATCCTTATCCGGACGGAGGTAGAGCAGAAACAGAAGCGAAGGAGGTCGAGTTTCTAAGGAGAAATAATAGAGAGAGAGAGAGAGAAGGGAATAAAGGAAGCGTGCGAACCAACAGCTTCGTTTGAGTCGTCCGAAAAGTAATTCGCGTCGCGTGTGTTGGTGTAGTGTGCGGTGATTACTATCACCGGTCGAGGTTGTGTGTCGTTGTACAGTGCCTCCAAACGATACCACAACATCCGGTCCCAAATGAAGAGTTCGGAGCAAAATGGTTAGAGAGACACGTCACCTGTGGGTTGGAAATCTGCCGGAAAACATCCGTGAGGATCGAATCAGGGAGCATTTCAAACGGTAAGTTGAGAACCGCCGCGGTAACACGCAGCCCGACGTCGCTTAAACCTTTCGCGATCAATGGGGACGTGTATGTTCCAGCTTTAAGTCTATCGCTCGTAAATCGTGTTCCGCGTTACACAGATCGCACACAGATAGGCGAAGCCGGTCCGTCACAATCAAGAGACACGATAGCGTCTCGCGCCAAGCGCATCTAATGTTTATCCTCTCGAGAGAGATGCTATTGTGTATTCTCCGCAGGAGCGGAAATATTTTCCCTTCCGGAAATAAGTCGATGTTCTTTTTTTTTCCTTCTTTCTTTCGAGACGTCGATCGCTTCGAGAAATGTAGATAACAAAAGACTAATTACCAGCGCCCGGATCTTATTGATCTCTCCCAATTATTCAAGGATTGTCTCGACATCCCGAGAGCTTTGATTTGAAATATTCTATATAATAAGAGAACTTTGCAAGTGAATTGAAAAATGTTACTTCAACCCGAAAGCCAAATTCAGCAATTTCTTCACCGCGAAACTCTTTAAATGTCAAACTTTCCAATCGTTTCGGATATCCTCGAAAAATTAATTGACAAACAGCGGAATAATTCCGATCGAAAACCTCGCCGAACAATTTCTCAGGTACAATAGTCCCCGAATTTTGTAAATCGTTTCTAATTTACCGCCTATACCTTTCTCTTTTTTTTTTTCTTATTGACAACTTTTTCCCGCTATTTAGAAATTGATGGAATAATAAGTAGCTTAGAAGCAATAGACAAATATAAGGAGTTTAATCTCCTTGCGGAGTCTTTTGCTATTGTATTGAAGCAGGATCCGCATTTAGCGTATTTGTCCTAATCCATTTGGAACAGAAAAGAAAAAGAGGATTATAGATAGATTCAGGATCAAACCTCACTCACAGTGTAAACATATTTATGTTTACCATTCCCCGACACGCTTGACTTTCGCCAGGAATTTTCTACATTTTCACCCAGCACTTTGTACCCCAACTTTCTTTGTAATCTTCTTCTCTCCCTTGTACACATTGTTCACACGCGCACACACATCTTCACGTAAATATTACATGTAGATATACATACACGGGGAGAAAGAGGAAAGTCGAAATTCGCATGGTTATCGCGTTATTTACAGGCTTGTTTTTGTTTTCGCACGAATCGCCGGCATTATCGCTTCGATAAACCTTCGAGTTTCAGGAAACACGTAAGGTGTCCCGATGTTTTCGGCACGGTCTGTAGTGCGCAAGGATACGCCGAAGATGAGAGAAAGAGAGAGAAAAGGGGGAGAAAGAGAGAGAGAGAGAGCGAACAGCCAACTTGGAGCGTCGCGCGCACCCACACAATCTCATGTATACCGTGATACGTTATACCGAGGGCCTTGGCTCTCTGTCTCTCTTCTCCTCTTCACGTAGCGTAAGCGTGCGCCGTCATTTGTTTTTTCCCCGAAGTAATAATAGCTGAGGACAGCCATTTTGAGAGCTCGCGGCAGCACGAAGTTATTGTTCGATAGTGGCTCTCAACGCGCGGCTCCGCACGCGGTCGTATCGCTCCGATATCTTCTCTGCGTATCTCATTCCGAAATCCGTCTTATTTTTATTTAAGCATTTTTCCCGTATTTTCATATATTTATCTCTCTCTCTCTCTCTCCCCCTCTGTCTCTCAGATATGCGAAAAAGGATTCGGACATTGTCGGTACGGAAACCCGAAAAGTGAACAATGGGAGAAACACTGTAGACGCGCTCGTATATTATTTCCCTATATCTGTAATTTTTGGAGTGTGTGAACTGTAATTTCGTATAATATGTACAACTTTGGTTAAAAATTTTAACCTTGTCACAAATGTTAGATTCTACTGCCAAGGGTAAAATCATATATTTCTGACGGCGAATATTATAAAGAAATTGAACTTGGGTAGAACCCAATGATATTAACTATCCCTGTTTCAAAGAAAGCCGCCTATATCTGGCTACAGCTAGCTTCTTCTGCTAAACTTTTTTCCGCGTACAGACGATTATCATGTAGACTTGCATGACAATTCGTATTGCGTCGCTTAGATTTAACATAACTCCGTCCAATGACGATAGAGACGTTCCGTCGGCAAATTGGAGATGGAAATTGATGGTTTACGATCGGAAGGAATTGCACTTCTTTCTCACTCTACTTCACAGCAAGGATACAATAATCAGGATTCACAAACAAATCACCTTTCTTCACTTTAAACTCTCAGTTTCTAGCTTCAATCTATCTGTGGTAGCAAAAATGCACGAATACTCGGTTCGCTTGTACGTGTCACTTCGTTTCCCCCTCGTATTTCTTTGTGGAACACCACAATGTTAGATCGTTCCTCTCCCCCGACGAAGTGACCTGAAATGTCCAGGTTGAAAACGTTGGGAACGAATCCGCGAGAAAAAAAAGCGCATCTCCAACCCGGAAGCCAATCCCAGCAATACCACGGAGTTCGAAGAAACTATATTCATCGATGTTGCCACACACAATACGCAACGTACGTGCGCAAGAACGTTACATTTACAATTCGCCCTCCCCACGCACATGCACGCAGTCGCTAGTACACAGGCCGCTCAGATTATATTTACAATTTGCATACGTGAAGGCATATATTGACAGAGTCGCGAGGATGTACGTGGAACACGGACGGGCGTGCGCGCGCGCGCGCACGCGTATACGTATTTATGTGCGCGCGGGTGCCGGCGTATTTTGGTATATTGATCGCGCGTGGTCGGCCATCTCCCCTTTCCTTCCCTCTTCGTTCCTCCGCCTCTTTGCGCTCCTCGCCCCACCTCGAACCCTACCGCGCCCCTGCACCCCGACCCCACCCTCAGGGGTACCCGCCGTCGTCGTTGTCGAGTCCTCGTGCTCCCCTCGAGACGTTACCCATCCCGAAAACCTTCGAGACTCTCGACGCAACCTCGAGTCACACATATTTTCACGTGTACCAGCCAGCCAGCCCCCTTCTCCCCCACACAACGGTAATATACATAGCGTGACGCGAACGTGGTGTATCTTTTTTGTTTTTCCCTTGCCGACTTACCGAACTGATATTTATACCCCCGTCATCGTTCGTTACTGCAATTGGATTTCTTATCGTTCGAAATCGTGGAAGGCGCCAATGCGACGCCTTCATTTCTCGCGATTCGCGCTCTAGGCAGGTACTATCCTTGTTACACATGTCACGCGAGGTTCAAGATATAAGAATTTCATGCACTCGACGTTCTCGGAAGGAGTATTGAGTGGACGTGCGTTATTCCGGGAGAAGAATGTATCGCAGTTCAAAGCGTGGGATAATTTTTCAAAAAGTCGATAATTTTCCGAAAACAGAATACCGGAATGATCCTCCGAAATACAATTTATCCGAAATATTGGAGAGGCATGCAATTGTCTCGGAAAGTTGTAATATCGAAATCCGAATATACCGTGACAATCTCTCTCTCTCTCTCTCTCGAAGTACAAATTTTCCAAAATACTGGAACCATCAAATGTTACACGTATCACGTCCAAGTATCTTCTGCGAAAGAAATTAATTTCGACATTATAGTCCAATATGCGAGCAACTCTTGAAATATTTCACCCAGGCATATCGTAACCAAACACAACTCTCTCCTGCTACATTTCCGCGCTTAATTCACAATGGTTTGCAATGGTTGTAGGTTCTCGACATTCCTAAAAGAATGCCCTAATTGGATTAGATAAAACTTTCCGAGGAAAGTGTGGATTCGGATAATGCTCGACTTTTCTAAGTATATGAAACTTTCTTAACCAAGTGTCGCGCGAGATCCTTTAACCTTGCAGGCAATGTCGGCGTAACGTAAACGCTACTCAGGGTCGAAGAACGGCCGAGTAATCAGAACTTTGCTCCCCCGATGCATTGCGTCGATGAGGTGAGCTAATTGCATAGCAAACGCCGTCTCGCGAAGGGTTGAACGTTGGAATAGCGATAAAAAGAATTTTTTCTCTGTCATATATGCGTCAGGTATACCTTGTGCATTGACATAACCGAGCGTGCATCTTTTTTTTTTACGCAAAAATGTACGCTGATCTTACATTGCTTTACACGCGCGAGAGATCAGGAAAATCTTTGTAAAATTTCGTCATATTGCTTTTATGACCAGTACGACCGTGTGAAATTTCGTTTATAACAGAATATTAAAACTCAGTAATGATACATTAGAATAATAATTTGTTTCGTTAATTATTCGGCACGAAATAGCATGAACATAATGTACAATGACTGCCAACATATCTGATGTTTAACACTATTCACATAAATGTTTACACAACAAAATATCGTATATGTTAATTATTCTGCAAAACAATAACTGTGATTAAAGGGATATGCCGATTCGACTGGCAGAATGAATCAGTTATATGCTGATGAATCTAATATACATACAGAGATTGTTATTCAGCGGTAAATATGTAAAAATGTAAATGACAGTTATGTTGTTATTTTTTCATTCAATTTTGATATTCTCGTGTTTTTGTTTATATACAATTTGAAGTTGAAGATTCAAGTGAAGTACCAAACTTTCCTACATCATTTGTTTTGCTAACTTTGTTACTAATTCGATCCATCGCTCAATTACTCGCATATTACGTCAGATCCGTCCGCTATCGATATTTCCCCCGTGACGAAGAAAGAATCTCGAACGGTCTCGTTTTGCACCCACATCGCCGTCATCCCCTCCACTGCGACCGTGGTTTGATATTTTCTACCTGCGCTGCAGCTTGACGGCAGCTCTCCTCTGTTCGAGCACCTGCGCACGTCGAAGCGATATCGCCAAATTTCTTAATCCATCGACCCTGTTACGGTATCTGGCGAGCAGCCGGCGCGGCGTTGCGTTTCAGGCCGCAACGACACGCCGCTGCTCCGCCTGCTTCTCGCGTTGTGAGACGCGGCGTGTCTCGCCGGGCGACGTTGTCACGTCTGCCGACGTTCTCGCGCGTACGTGACAGCATAGTACGGCAACGCCGCATCCCGCCGTCTTGCCTTC